ATATAACTATTGAAAATTTTTAATGTATTTTAATTTAAGAAATATTATTAAGGTATATTATTATATAGAGGGTTTGATACTGCCATGAACTGATGAACCACCTGTCAATAAATTGCATTTTTATTACCCAACTATTGATAAGCACTTTTACATTAATTTAATTTATATTGTTCGGTATTTACCAATATAATTTATATATATAACCAGTCAAAATGTTAAAATTTATCAATAACTGGGTAATATTGACACTCCATATAGTACTCCATTACTTGGTTATTGAGATACTATCTACACGTCCTACTAGTACAGTTTTATCCAGTTATACATTTGTTATATATTTTATACTTTTGTTTTACCAATTTTTGTGAATATGGAGATTATCAAATCAAATAAAGGTGGTAACAAAGGTTTTTACAAAGGTTATGTATATGTTGTAAAGTATATTGGCGTATCAAAAATAACCTGGAGGTGTTCTCAGAGGTGTTCAATGAAATGTACTGGAGAATTATACACCGATCTCAAAATGGAGAACCCAGAAGTAAAAACAGGACATAGTCATTTGAAAGATGATGACAGTGTTAAGATAGAAAAAGCTTTGTGTGCGATGAAGGAACGATCGAAAGCTGGTTTATCTAAACCACTTGAAGTTTATGCGGCAGAAATTTCTAAGTTGGATGGTAACACTAGAGCGAAGTTGCCAGTGGAAGACCATGTTAAAAGAACATTAAGAAATCAACGTTCTGCATTAAATCCAGTTGAGCCAACTAGCCTTGATAATTTGGTCATTGATGGTAGGTACCTAAATTTTATTAATTAATTAATTATTTAAAATTCAATTCTTTACTTTTAACAGATGAGTGGTGCACAACAGGTCATCCTGAGTATGAAAATTTTTTAATTTTTGACAATGGTATTAATTCCGAAGAAAGGATTCTAATTTTCGGGACTGTAGAAGGTATGAATAATTTATCAAAATCCAATACTTGGTATTTAGATGGTAATTTTTCACTAGCACCAAAATTATTTTTACAATTGTATGTCATAAGAGTAGAGGTAGATGGTATTTTTATAACTGCAATTTATTGTCTATTACAAAAGAAAACATCTGAAACATATAAAACAGTATTTAGAACATTGGTTGAAAAGTGTGCAGAGCAGAATCTGTACCTGGATCCAAAATATGTGCATCTTGATTTTGAAAAGGCTGTAATTAAAGCTGTGCATAAAATCTTTAACAAAGAAGTTATTATACGTGGGTGCTTCTATCATCTGTCACAATCAACTCACAGAAAAATTCAAGCTTTAGGTCTAGAAAAATTATACCATGAAGACCCTAACTTCACAAAATTCTGCGGAATGTTAGATGGTTTAGCATTCTTACCTCTAACAGATGTTGAACAAGGAATGTCATATTTGCGATCTATTATGCCTGATACTGCCTTAGATTTAGTTGAATATTTTGATTCTACATATGTAAATGGCACTTTCAAGCGAACAAATTGTCCGATCAACAAAATAAAATTTAAAAAAGTTCAACCAAGGTTTCCTCCAAGTGTCTGGAATGTCCATGAGGCAACGTTGAATGATCAACATAGAACGAACAATACAACCGAGGGTTGGAATCATAGGTTCTCAAATCTAGTAGGTCATAACCATCCATCCATTTGGACTCTGTTAAAAAAAATGAGATTAGAAGTTGCTGTAGATGATACCAAAATAAGGCAGTACAATTTAGGAACTATTCAACCAGTGAAAAAAAGGAAACTTACAGTAAAAAATCAAAATACATTAAAGCGACTATGCGTAGATTACAATGAAGGAAAAAGATCAATTGAAAACTTCTTAGACGCTATTTCATACAACACACGCATTAAATTGGATTAATTTTACTAACTTTATGTATACTTAAATATTGTAATTAAATGTTTGACTAGTGAATTATTTTATGTAATTTATATTATTATGTTGTATTCAAAACGACTGACGAGTGACAACTTACTTACAGAGTACTCACAGAAAAACTACTTTACTTTAAAATCACAATTATGTATTATCATTTATCATTACAATTTATTATTATTATTATTATATAGTAGTAGAACAGTGTAGGAAGCTGGTGAAAAAGATAATGTCCTGTTAATCATAGTCCGTGATTGATATCAATTATTATTATTATTATGTTACAGTATCACACTATACCCAACAAAATATTTATATTATTATTGTATTATTACAGTTGAAAATTGACTGACCTGCTGTGACTATTACTATTATAATTAACAATTAATTATTATTTTCATTATAATATATAATAATATATTATTATATTTTGTTCACATTTATATTTGTATTTCTGGGCTTTTTTTCCGTGGGCTTTTTTTCCTCAGTGTATTTTTTTTTTTTGGGCTTTTTTTCCGTGGGCTTTTTTTTCTGGGCTTTTTTTCCTTGGGCTTTTTTTCCGTGGGCTTTTTTTCCGCGATTCCAGGAAACGAGCACAAGATGATTGAACGTATAAAAATGTATGTAATGAATGTATGTTTCTTCAGTATGTATATAATGAATGCAATGTGCTCTGGCTAGGGGTTGACTTGGACCGACCAGCTAGAGAGACGAAAAAGAAAGAACAACGGAAAAGGCGAATGAATTTAATTGAATATTATGAGTTTTTTACGAAAACGAATGAATATATTGAATAGCCAATAAGAAAACGCATAATTCACGAAAATGCTATCAGTACCACCTTAAACATTTAATACGATAAAATACAAGACTTTCGGTGGTACTGAAAGCGACACAAAACTTTACGAACGAAGAAAAACATTAAAAGTGCATAAAAATAACAAAAATACGAAAAAGCGACCGTTGGAATGCACCATAGAGTATATAGAGGTGTCCTAATTGGAATAATATGAAGCGGAAATGGAAACAAAACAGTGTAGGCAAACTATAGAAAATATTTTATTGTATATGAACTATAATACAATATTTATTGTAATTTAATAATATTACTCATTATTATTACTCAATTATATCATATTGTTCTATAACCATAGAATTAATTAATTAATTATATTAACCTTTATTTATAACTATCAATATAATATTAATTATTATAATATTACTGAACTGAACTTGATTTGCACAAATACGTAAATACTATTATAATATGTTACGGGAGGGTAGTAATTTTTGGTGAGGAAATTATCAGTACTATCAATACTTAAATTATTGTAACATACCAGCATCTTAGGTTTGTTCTTAAAATAGTTTCTGAGTAGAAAGTATTATAACATATTCAAAATATTAAATTTTTGGGATTTACGAAAGTTGAAAATTAGAGCTATCTATCAGTTGCGTTGTTAGTTATTGGAAACCAAATCCGACATGTTTTGCTTCACATAATTCATAATACTTATTCTGATATGGCATCTCTATATACTCTATGGAATGCACACGTTGACGGCTATCAGTTAGATAACACAATGACGGTGGGACAACGCGCGCACTCACCAGACAATCAGACTGCCGCTGCAGCTGTTGTTCGGTCCGCGATAATGCACCGGCGCGAAAAGGAAATATTTGATTCTGGTTTGCGGAGCGAACACATAATCAATTACTCTATATTTATTAGAATTTTAAATTATTATATTCTTATATCGGTTGTATAAATATAAGCTATTAGCATATACCTATAGGTACCTAACTAACTTAGTTTATAGGTCTATGTTTATTAGTTATAGTTAAACTTACTAGTATAAGTTATCGAGTTCAACTATAACAATTTGTTATATTTTAGTATTCTATATACTAGACAAAAATCGAAATAAATCTAATTTAACATTTTTAACCAATTAAAATGTATAAGTTTGACACCTCCATCAATGATTCATAATCATAATTTATGATTTATGACTATCATTAAATTATTAGGTAATTAATTAATAGGAGGTACCTATTACATTTTTTTATAAATTCATAAGTATTTTTTGGGAAGAAAGAGGAATGGTTAAACAATAGATATACTGTATTTAATATCTATGAATTTAACTAGAAGAATAAATAACAATTTAAGATTCTTATTTATATTACCTTTTTTTAATTTTAAATAATCATTCATGGTATATTCACCCTATGTGATTAAATAAGCAATACAAAAAAACAAACAACATAATCATATTATAATACAAACTTAAATAATCCAAACGACCAAACTTAATAGAACAAAATACTTAACATATTATTCAAAATAACCCATAAGGTATAAACAACACAATATAATTATAAAATACATTACATTAAGCCCAAAATTTTATAACACAAAATACTTGAAATATTATTTGAAATAAGCAAAACAAAAAAACAACAATATACCTAATATAATATATAATATTATTATATTAATCACAAAATATTAAAAACTTAAATAAACAAAACTTAATTTGAGAAAATATCTTTAGTTTAAAAAATAATAATTTCTTACTGACCTTTGAAGTGAATTGTTTTAGTTAGATGAGATCGAATTCTTTCAGTAGGTTGACTAAGAGTTTTATTGTGATGATGCAAGCGTAATGTAAAATATGTTTTAAAAATTAAAGAAACTATTTGTAACAGATGATTATCTAAGGGTGACTGATCAAGTATATGAACAGAAAGACTAGAAAATAAGGTAGATATTTGAATTTTAAGTGAAGCTCTTACTGTTAAATAAGAAATTATGCCTTTCTTACATTTTATTTCATTTTCATGGCATATAAAAACTGTTTCAGATAGTCTATATAGTTTTACAACATATGTTGAAGGTTTAATGATACCACCTTGATTTTTTATATTCAACAAAAAACTTTTTGATGAATTACCCAAAAGTGCTTTTATACATTCTTTACAAGTTATTTTATTTTTTAGTTTTTTCATAACAAAGCCATATATATATAGCTATATATTCCAGTATATCCTTGACACACATATCAATTTTGTCAACATCAAAATTATTTAAGACATTTTTAAGACTTCTGAATGTCATTATAGTTAGCACTTTCAGAGCAAGTCATGATTTCTGTATGTATTAACAATCGTTTGTAAGCTGCTTCGAATTGAGCAGCAGTAGGATTGTTAGAAAATCCACTCCTAGGCCTCACTGCTGAGAAAAATATTTCCAAGTGGTCTTGTGAGAGTTTATAAGTAAGCAAGTATTCTAAGAGACCATCTTCAAACATATCTGCCTGATTTAAGATGTTTGATATACTCTTTAGACATACTATAAGTCCAACAAATGGACTCAACCAATGGAATTAATTTATTTTGTTTAACGGGCTTACACTTCAGATTTTATGAGTAAGATATTGATGATTGTATAAAGTGTTGAATATTAATATTATTGGAAATCTTTAATGGCTTTTTATGTTCTGTCTTACTTAAGTGATTTCGAGTATTTAATAAATACAATTTATTTATTTTATAAATAAAGTCGTTTTCGAACCGTTGTCGTGTGCACACGTTTATACGTAATCTCGTTGTATCTTCGCTTATCTTTGTTCCTAATATTAATAATGGTTTCGTGTGTTGTCTGTGCGATTACTTTAAAACGAGGTGAAACCGGGTCGATTACCTGTTTATCGTGTAATGGTATTTTTCACATACAGTGCGTTAAAATTAATCAGGATGATATTGACTATTTAAATTCTATAAAAAAAAATTGGTCATGTTCAAACTGTACAAAAAAACCAGAAAAAGATTCTAAATCAGACACCCAGTCTGATAATATTTCCTCACCGGATGTTAAGTTGATCTTAAAACAGTTAAACCTCTTAAAATTTGAACAATCTAAACTGATAAATCTCGTTAACAAACAAACTGCGAAATTAGACGCGTTTGAACGAAAATTCACCGAAGTTTTTTCCCAATTAGCCACAATCAAAGATGACAATATTCTTCTCCATAATAATTTAAATAGTTTAACAGCTCGACTTGAGGCCATTGAACTTAACCGCTCCACTCCAGATGAAGACTCATTCTCGGACTTCGTTGACCGCCAAGCCCGCTCTAAAAATGTAATTTTGTTTAATGTTCCTGACGCGCCCGATGATTCCAATAACTCGGACTCCTCAACAGTCGATCTTATTTTTACTAAACTCGCTTTGGACATTAAACCGATCACAATTCAGAGACTCGGAAAATTTGACGGTAAGATTCGCCCTTTGAAAATTTCACTAGCTTCCGCCTCTGATGTTTTCAAGACCTTGGGTTCTTCGAGAAAACTTAAATCTGATCAAATTTTCAATGCGGTTAGAATAACAAGTGACAAGACTCCCAAACAACGTTTGTATTTTCAAAATCTGCGTAAAGAATTAGATATGAGACGTTCGGATGGTGAGTCAAATCTAACAATAAAATACGTCAAGGGCATTCCATCTATTGTTAATTCCGCGGTCCAAAAAAACTAATAAGTTTTACCGAATTCCAACTTTATTATCAAAATGTTAGAAGTCTAGTGTCAAAATTAAATACTCTTACTCCACTTTTATGTACTTCCGGTCTGGATATCATCGCTTTCACGGAAACCTGGCTCTATCCATCTATATCTACGTCTGAACTCAACTTCTCTAATTACACAGTTTTTCGTTGTGATAGATCTTCACTCAACAGCTCAAGTGGTCGTGGTGGTGGTGTATTAATTGCAGTTAAATCAACCTTAATTTGTAAAGTCTTAAATGTTTCTGTTAAAAGTGTTGAACATGTATTTGTGTTAATTAATTTAGGTCCTAATATTTTGATTCTAGGTTGCGTTTATATTCCTTCTCTCTCTCCTCTAACACTTTATGAACAATTTTTTAAAGCAGTCAATGAACTTTTTATTTCAAACCCGAAAGCTAAATTTGTCTTGTTAGGTGATTTTAATCTCCCCTCTTTAAATTGGTCACTTTATTCGTTGCCAATAATATGTAATTCTCCAATTGATTCTTATTTTATTAGTATGTTATCACAGTTTAATTTTAATCAATTTAATTTATTACGTAATAACAATAACGTTACTCTAGATTTAGTCTTATCTAATATCCACCTATCCGTCTCTAATGAACCTGACCCATTGTTGCCTATTGATAAACACCACCCAGCACTTAATATCACGTTGAAATATGAACAATTTAATATCTTATCGACTACTTATGATATAATTTACGATTTTAAAAATTGTGATTATGTCAAAATCGTTAAATACATTGGCGACTCACTTAATATGCAGCAGTTCCATCAAACGTTAATGTTCTAATAGAAGCACCAGTATCATTAATTTTGGTCAAACACATATTAACCAAATTTGCCTTTTCTTGGGCAGACATTCCATTGGTGAGGAAATAGGCTACAGGAACTTTCCAACGTGAGTTTATTGATACTATAATAAATGCTAGGGCTTCTTTTGCCTTTGGTAAGCTATCAAAGTCTTCTGTGTCTAAACCTAAATTGACATACCCTTGAATTCTATTATTAATAAAATGTAATTCTTCTCTAATAAACATGCCATCCATTAATAAGGCACATATTAATTTTTTTCCTTTGGTTTTCTCTAATTGGTCGACCTTAAGTTTTATAGCGTTTAAAGACTCAGCAGTGAAACCATTTGTTCCATAAACTGAAGAGTACCAACCTCTTAATGTACTTGGATGAGGCAAGATTTTAAATGTCTTATGTACAGGAGAATAAAAATTTAAGGCAAAGCAAATTAACGAATTTCTGGGGGAATAGTTCTTGAAGTTTTCATTTTCAATTGCCTCATTAAAATTTAAAACTCTACATTAAGAACTGTTTCCTAAAAATAAATTAACAAAACCAGACTCAAGTATAATATTATATTTATATTTAACGCAAAATAATATAGTATAATATATAAAATATATTTATTTTTATATTATTATTGTTTTCTTCGTTTGATAATGTGAGACATGAGTATTCTCAAAATGTAACATTATACATGCAAATTGAAATATCGTAAAATGGCGATACAAACTTCTATTTTTCAAATGAACACCTCCTTTTTTACTTTAAATTATTCAGCAAACGAATTGTAAGTTAACTTACAATTTTGATTTAGATACATACAGAAGTTTTTATCGCCATAGGATAAACATTAAGTTGTAGAAAAAATTCAAAAATTATATTTTGAAGAAGTATACTATTAAAGAAGAATTAAAGAATAGGGGGTGAGCATGTTTGGTGAATCACAGTGTGTTTACTGAAACAGAGGACACTATCACTCATTACCCTGTACAATTTTTTTAATTCCGTTTATGGGACGTTGCAAGTACTAGCTCTTTGTTTCCAGTTCTAGCTCGAACATGCAATGATTAGTTTAATAAACAAATTATCAATGATATAGGTTTTTTCTAAAATTTCATGTTTTTATAGTAATTTGTATCATGGTTGTCAAAAGTAAACAATACGTGCAATTAAAAAAAAAGATAAAATGTCCATATACGTTAGTCCAATTGAATGTCCAATAAACAGAATTGAAAAATATTTACGGGGTAATGATTGATAAAGTGTTCCTGGTTAGGTATACTGTATAATCGATGCTAAGAACTTACTTTAAGGCGGCTCTAAACGATTGGATTTTCCATGCATTTAGACCAATAAGCTGGCGAAAAATACACATACTTCTAGTAGTCAAATTTTAATTTTGAATACTTATTTGGATTCGTTAGCCTCTTTTCTATGATCTGTAGGAAAAGCTTTTTCATCTTTTTGTCTAGTTAGCACTTAAAAGTGCAAGTTAAATTTGAGAAATCAAGCAGTCATTTGGAACCGTAATATACGTAAATTATCTAAAATATCCAAAATCGGTTTCCTACAAATCATAGAAAAGAGGCTGACGAATTCAAATAATTTTTCAAAATTGAAATTGGACTACTAGAAGTATGTGTATTTTTCGCCAGCTTATTAGCATTTTTCACTGTTGTGAGTGTACAAAAATATTTTTCGAGAGTGCTTACGTTGACTTGTTCATGCGTGTACGTGTGCTATTGAACCGTGTGCCCGCAGCCGGGCGATATAAAATCTATTGTTATCGAGTTCGAATTTCTTCGAATTTCACACTAATAATCATTTACGACTAACACATAGATTACGGGCGGCGACGACAAGATTAGAAATTGCCTAAATTGTTCCCCTTAAATAATAGCCACTAAGAGCCGCCTTAAGCATTGTAAAGCAATTATCCGATATTTTGTTTTTATCTTTCAAATGCTCAACTAACTCCTGTAGATTTTTGATTTTATTCTTCAAATATAAGTCGTTATTCCTCAATTTTTTATTTTTCCGTTTTAATATTTGAACTTTATTTTGGCTAGAAATCCAATATTTTCTTCGGTTATTCGGAGTTGTTATTTCTGATTCTGATTTGAAATCCCCGAAAAAAACATTTTCTTTTTCTAAAACAAAATTGAAAGTAAACTATTTATTTGATCTTATAGAATATTACATTTTAGTCTATTATAATATTAACTACAGTAGAACTCCGATTATTCGAACGCCAATCAAACGGATGTCCAATTAACCGGACGAAAAAAAAAGGTCCTAAGCTTAAGATTATATCATTATATTATGTTATACTGTTATTATACTGATATTATGTTATTGTGTTATACTAGCTGGGAATGTTGGAACATAATAGTGAAGTACCCACTTACAACATGTTTGTATTTATTGATAATATTTACTTCAAAATAATCAAAATATATGTATTTTATATTTTGGGTTTTCATATTGTTAACTCGGTGGGGCAAAAGTCCCCTATGCACCCCCCAATGATCAGTTGTTGTCTAATCATCACACAGTTTAGTCTGTCAATTGTTATATTATTATAACGAGTGAATTTTCGTGTTACAATGTCCCTAAATAACTTTTAAAATGTCATACGTCAATCATCCGGATATTTGCTTATCCGGACCACCCTTGACATTAATTAGTCCGGATAATCGGAGTTCTACTGTACCTTGGTCTTTTAACAGGTGTCAATGGTAAGTCGAAGTCTTGACTAACTATATCATCTATATTTGAATCAATGACTTCGATATCGTTCATAGAGGTCACACAAGGAGTACCAATTAAATATTAGTAGCAAAATATTTTTTTTTAATTACTATAGGTATATTATTTATAATAACTATATAAAATAAAAAAAAAAACAATATCAAATTAATAAACTTACGTGCATTTTCAG